TTCGGAATGTTGCAGGAAGAGCAGGGGGTCCGGAAAGAGCCGGTTGCTATTTGAGGAGGGGGGGTGTCTTTTGCTAAGAGCTGGACAAATGCATTAGATTGGGGATTGCCATGTCAGAAGCTGATTATCTTGGGGGGGGAGGGATTAAAAGATAATGGCAGGAAATTCGGGGCGAGGGGATGATGGATTTGAGCCAAAGGGGTCTTTGTCCTAGAAAGTGCAGCGTTTGGGCGGGACATCCTCTAGGGCAGGGCTCTTCAAACTTGGCCCTTTTATGACTTGTGGACTTCAACTCCCAGAATTCCTCAGCCAGCCCTGTTTGGTTTGAACAGGGGTCTTCAAACTTGGCCCTTTTATGACTTGTGGACTTCAACTCCCAGAATTCCTCAGCCAGCCCTGTTTGGTTTGAACAGGGGTCTTCAAACCTGGCCCTTTTATGACTTGTGGACTTCAACTCCCAGAATTCCAAGTCATAAAAGGGCCAAGTTTGAAGACCTCTGCTCTAAGGAAGTTCTTCAGGATGAAATTTGAGAAGCTGAAGAATGGAGTAGAATCATGCTTCCCAACCTCTTAGCTATTGTAAGATGTGTGGACTTCAATTCCCAGAATTCCCCTGCTGGCAATGAATTCTGGGAGTTGAAGTCCACCTACCTTAAAGTGGCCACGGTTGGGAAACACTGGAGTAGAAGAAGCTTGGAGGTGTCATGAAGACATTTGGGACATCTTGGAAGACCCAGGATAATCTTGGCAGCCAAGACAAGAATGTGTCAGGGATGGGCAACAAAATCAAGATGGCTGCCACAATGGGGTGATTGAAGCTCCACCTGGTTACAAAAGAACCTGCAGAGCTTTGATCACACCTCGTTGGTCTCCATCTTGACCCTGTGGACCATATCTTGTCACCACCCCTGGCAGCAATGGAGAACAGTCCCTAAGAACAGGACAAACAAATATATGAATGGTCTACTGTATCTCTATCGCAGGTCTTAGTACCTCCTGGACTGCAGGAACACCAGAAACTGAGGCGGGGGAGGCAGTTCTTCCCTTCAAGCGAGAATGTCTACTTTCCGCCAGGAAAGGGTTGAAGACCACTATGACATGGAGGAAGAGCTGGGCAGGTGAGTTGTGTATTTATGATAATGGGTTATATAGGCTCTAACCTAGATTAGAAGATCATGTTTTTGAAAGCCATCAAAGAAACTGAAGCCCCGCCTCTTTCCTAGTGTCATAATAGCAATAGCAATCGCAATTAGACTTATATACCGCTTCACAGTGCTTCAGGTCAGGATCGAACTGGTGGCAATGGGCAGAGTCAGCCCTTCAATGCTGCATTTAACCATTGTGCCACTATGGCTCTTAATTATAATAATGTAATGTATAGTATAGCATAGCATAGCATAGTATTCGTATTAGTACAGTATATAAATATAATATAGTATATATAATATATATAATATATTATATACCATATATCATATAAAACATATAATGATATGTTATATGATATACGATATGATATATGATGTGTAATGTAATATATAAATATAAATATATAGTATAAGAACCCCACACGATGTATATGTGGAATCTCCAGGAGTCAGTCAATCAGAATAGAGCTGGAAGGGACCTTGAAGGTCATCTAGTCCAACCCCCTGCTTGAGCAGGAGATCCTATACCATTTCAGACAAATGGCTGTTCAGTCTCTTCTTAAAAGTACCCACAACTTCTGGTGGCAAGCTGTTCCACTGGTTAATTGTCCTCACTGTTAAGAAGTTTCTCCTTAATTCCAGGTTGCGTCTCTCCTTGCTTAGTTTCCATCCATTGTTTCTTGTCCTGCCTTCTGGGTGCTTTGGAGAATAGGTGGACCCCCCCCCTCTTCTTTGTGGGACCCCCTCAAATACTGGAAGACTGCTATCATGTCCCCCCCAAATCCTTTTTTTCTCTAGACTAACCATACCCAAATCCTGCAACCGTTCTTCATATGTTTAAGTCTCCAGGCCTTTAATCATCTTAGTTGCTCTTCTCTGCATTTTTTCCAAACTCTCAACATGTTCTTTGTAATGTGGTGACCAAAACCGGATGCTGTATTCCAGGTGTGGCCTTACTAAGGTTTTACAAAGCAGTACTAATGTCAAAGTGATCTCAGCAAGATTTGATCTTGCTTAATTTCTGGAAAACTAAGAGAGTAAATTGTGGATATTACTGGATATTACTTGGAACTTGCAAAACTGGACTGCTAAACTGGATGTACCAGACTGGCGGTGACAAATCCACGCACGATTATACCAAGAACTACACATCCGCGCAGTCATCAGAAATCAGACTTAAGGGGTGTGGGCATATAATCACCTTTTCTCTGGTTTTGAACCCAGGCTAATGGAAATAAAGTAATTGCTGGCCCATTGAATTATAGGGCAGATCTTGAAAAAAACGGGTGGTTCCGCCAGCTTTTTTTTTAAAAAAAGAAGATCAAAAAAATCTGTGGACTCTTAATTCATCGGATATTAAAAATAAACTCTTGGCTGTCAGTTCCTTTCAAGCTGAGAGGCATTAGAAATGTTTTTTAAACTGTTTTTCCCAGTAGCAAAAGAAGATTGCTGGTGGATAGACAGTTGTTGAGGCCACTGGGAGGTTTATCTGCATCCTCAGGGTCTCCTGAGTGGTGCAAATGGGTGTGGAGCCTTCTTGGAACTACTTGAAAGGACTGTGTTGTAGACGGGAGATAGATGATGTTGTATCCCTCCCCCTCTGTTGAGAAAACAAATCATGCCAGACAAATCTTATTGCATTCTTTGACGAAGTGACAAAATTAGTGGACCAGAGGAATGCTGTGGATATAATTTGCTTGGACTTCAGTAAGGCATTTGACAAAGTAGATCACAACCTACTACTTGATAAGATAGAAAAATGTGGGGTAGACAGCATCACCACCAGATGGATCTGTAGCTGGCTGACCGGCCGTACTCAGCGTGTGGTCCTCAATGGAACTGCATCTACATGGAGGGAAGTGTGTAGTGGGGTGCCCCAGGGCTCTGTTCTGGGCCCAGTGCTCTTCAACATCTTCATCAACTATTTGGACGAGGGGATAGATGGGGAACTCATCAAATTTGCAGATGACACCAAGCTGGCAGGAATAGCCAACACTGCAGAAGACAGGCTTAGGATACAGGAGGATCTGGACAGACTTGAACACAAAATGAAATTCAATGGTGAAAAAAGTAAGGTTCTACATTTAGGCAAGAAAAACCAAATGCACAGGTATAGTATAGGGGGTACCTTGCTCAATAGTAGTAACTGTGAGAGGGATCTCGGAGTCCTGGTGGACAATCCCTTAAATATGAGCCAGCCGTGTGCTGCAGCTGCCAAAAAGGCCAACACAGTGCTAGGCTGCATTAACAGAGGGATAGAATCAAGATCACGTGAAGCATTAATACCACTTTACAAGGCCTTGGTAAGGCCACACTTGGAATCCTGCATCCAGTTTTGGTCACCAGGATGTAAAAAAGATGCTGAGACTCTAGAAAGAGTGCAGAGAAGAGCAACAAAGATGATTAGGGGACTGGAGGCCAAAACATATAAGGAACGGTTGCTGGAATTGGGGATGTTTAGTTTAAGGAAGAGAAGGACGAGGGGGGACATGATAGCAGTCTTCCAATATCTCAGGGGCTGCCCCAAATAAGAGGGAGTCAAGCTATTCTCCAAAGCGCCTGAAGGCAGGACAAGAAGCAATGGATGGAAACTAACCAAAGAGAGAAGCAACCTGGAACTAAGGAGAAACTTCCTGACAGTGAGAACAATTAACCAGTGGAACAACCTGCCTCCAGAAGCGGTGAATGCTTCAACACTGAAAGTTTTTAAGAAGAGACTGGACAGCCATTTGTCCAAAATGGTATAGGGTTTCCTGCCTGAGCAGGGGGTTGGACTAGATGGCCTCCAAGGTCTCTTCCAACTTTATTATTATTATTATTATTATTATTATTATTATTATTATTATTATTATTATTATTATTATTATTATTATTATTATTATTATTATTATTATGGGCTACACCACTCATGTCACCTTGAGGACACAGATAAATCTCCAAGTGGCCTCAAGGACTCTCTAAAAGGATGCAAATGACCAGCTGTCTGCAAGGAATATAAATCCTTCCATTTCCTCCACCATCCAGTCAGAGCTGAAGAAGCTTCTTGGATGAGAAGCGAAACATCTTCAAAGAAAAACAAGAAAGTCCAGTTGCCTCCTGAAAAAGCACCTTTGGGACAAATGTTGACCACGGTTATAAGTGCGAGGATCAGTCATAAGTCACTATTTTCAGCGCCATCGTAACTTCGAATGGAGGATAAAAAAATGCTTTGTGCCCCCCCCAAAGGAATTGGATGCGGGTCATACATCTTAAGAGATTTGTTGGGATAAGTTATTAAATTGCTGGCCACTGTTTCACTGTCAAATAGTTCTCGACTTTCAGTCCCAGCTGAGCACTGAAATCTCCAATGCTAAGCAAGACAGCTTTTAACATATGAGTTTTGCCCCATTTTGCAATCACAGTTGTTAAACGAATCCTTTGGTCATTAAGTGAATCTGGCTTTTCCCCATTGACTTTATCCGAAGCCGGCTGGGAAGGTTACAAACAGTGATCACATGATCCCAGGATAGCGCAACTGTCCTAACGACATGTCAAGCATACAAATTTTGATCATAGGACCAGGACGATGCCATAACAACCATTGTGTGAACACCGTCCATAAGTCAGTTTTTTTCAGTGCCGTTGTAACTTGGGTCACTAAACGAATGTAAGTCAAGGGAGAGGGACCTCGGAGTCCTAGTGGACAATCACCTAAATAGGAGCCAGCCGTGTGCTGCAGCTGCCAAACAAGCCAACACAGTGCTGGGCTGCATTAACAGAGGGATAGAATCAAGATCACGTGAAGTATTAATACCACTTTACAAGGCCTTGGTAAGGCCACACTTGGAATCCGGCATCCAGTTTTGGTCACCACGATGTAAAAAAGATGTTGAGACTCTAGAAAGAGTACGGAGAAGAGCAACAAAGATGATTAGGGACTGGAGGCTAAAACATATAAGGAACGGTTGCTGGAATTGGGTATGTCTACTTTAATGAAGAGAAGGATAAGGGGGGACATGATAGCAGTCTTCCAGTATTTGAAGGGCTGCCCCAAAGAAGAGGGAGTCAAGCTATTCTCCAAAGTACCCAAAAGCAGGACAAGAAACAATGGTTGGAAACTAGTGAAGGAGAGAAGCAACCTGGAATTAAGGAGAAATTTCCTAACAGTGAGAACAATTAATCAGTGGAACAACCTGCCTCCAGAAATAGTAACCCTGCATCCTCAGGGTCACAGCATGATAGCAGAGTTCCAACTTCTCAGGGGCTGCCCCAAAGAAGAGGGAGTCAAGCTATTCTCCAAAGCGCCTGAAGGCAGGACAAGAAGCAATGGATGGAAACTAATCAAGGAGAGAAGCAACCTGGAACTAAGGAGGAATTTTCTGATAGTGAGAACAATTAACCAGTGGAACAACCTGCCTCCAGAAGCGGTGAATGTGCCAACACTGGAAGTTTTTAAGAAGAGACTGGACAGCCATTTGTTTGAAATGGTATAGGGTTTCCTGCCTGAGCAGGAGGTTGGATTAGATGACCTCCAAGGTCCCTTCCAACTCTGTTATTCTCTTCTAATTCAAATATACTTCTCTAAATTTCTCAGTAAACACAGTCTTGGCCAGCTATAATTTCCTAATAAAATTTCTTAAGTAAAGACCCGGTGCTGACGGGAGTGTTTTGAGTGTGCAGTTCGTAGTACACAACTTTGTGTGACGTACACATCCTGTCTGAGTAATCCCCTGTCACCCAGTGGGGCAAGACAGTCTTTCTTGAGTGTGTGGAAAGAAAGTTCATTGGGGCTGAGATTTCATCCTTGTTCCTGTTTGTGAGTACCCATCAATGTCGCAATTTCAGGTTCACAACGCCGTGAAACATTGAGTATGTCTAGTTTAATGAAGAGAAGGACGAGGGGGGACACGATAGCAGTCTTCCAGGGCCTGCCCCAAAGAAGAAGGAGTCAAGCTATTCTCCAAAGCACCTGAAGGCAGGACAAGAAGCAA